ARRAAAAAAAAAACAGTTTTTYTGTCTGCAATTATCATCCTTGTATAATTGACATCCCATGGCTTGAAGTCTGGTGGCATTGCCCACTTAGTGCTTCTGCTGATGAAACTTAATGAGGAGGAGGCAAGCGTGATTAATGTCTGGGCAAAACAAAACGCTGATATTCCATCTACCAGCATGTCATCTCCCAGTTCGGCTCGCCGCCACTCTGACTAGACTAAATTAGAGAGAGAGCCATTTCCGCAACAATAGAAGACAGATTACACAAGGATAAGCAACAGGCGCAAATAGATCAGCGTGAATTTTTACACCAGCGTCGAACAGTAACAAGCCACGAATGCTAATACAAACCGACAGCCACAACACACAAACAGTTTATAAATGTCAAGTGAACAGAATATAACGCCATGTGTTGGTGTGCAGTTTCTGCTGCTTGTCTAAACTTCACTCTGCTGAGATGCTGTCAAAACGGGATGGAAGCGATTTCCCTCCTGTTTGTGGCAGCTCATTGGGATTCTACTATGATTTTTTCCCTCCTCCCCTCCACTACTCTGACAGTTGCCTACTGCCAGCAACACATACGCCACCAATACAATGCCAAGACTGCAAAAGTCTTTCACAAGCTGAAGACTACTCAGCTGTAGAGATCTTCCTATTCTGAGCAGGAAAGCAATGCCTTGGTGTGTCCAAATGAGTGTTTCGACGTGCCCGTGTGTACAGGCCACTKCTTGATGGATCGTTGACTATATATGTGATTTTGGACCGCATGTTTCCCCCCCCACACACAGAGAGTTGTCAGCGCATATACCTCCCCTCCTTTAGCTGACAGCTGCTGTCTCAGAGTTTCCAGCTCCTGCTCTTTAAGCAGCAACTGCTGATTGTTCCTCTCACGCAGCRTCTCAAGGGAAAGAATCCTCTGAAAACCAAAAAAAATCACATGAGAACACACACACACGTAAAAAAAACAAACAGTAAATAAACAAATAAATAAAAACCCAAAAAGGACTAGAAATATTTAACGCAACTGATAAATCTCCTTTACCTCCAGCAGCTTGTTTTTCTCTGATTCAGGGGGTTTGATGTGTCGTTTGGCCATTTCATCGATTTTTTTCCTCAGGTGAGCGTTCTCCTTCCTGATTTTCTCCATCTCTGCCTCGGTTTTGGACGCAGAGCTGCTGGATTTAAAACCCAGCTTGGAGACGAGGGTCTCCTTGGCCCCTTTAGAAGTCATGGCTTTTGTTGTCGGTAGTTTTAATGTTGAATGGAGTGATCTAGGGAGATGAACCATTCCAAGAATAATGGTTTAATATCACTCAGAAGGGGGGTCCTACTCTCTAATCGGTCTGTGCAAAATGAAAGTAATCACACTTAGGTACTCGGGCAAAGATTTTCTTCATCAAAATTTAACATAGCTAAATTTGGTTTATACAATCCACATTTTCAAAGTGAAACTGAACAAAAGTGATTGACATGTTCCATAAAAAAGGCATCAAAATCAACCTGTACATTTTTTTTTAACCAAGCTAAAACTAAGGTAGTCTAAATGACAAAACAACTGCCCTAGTTGAATTTTGGTTTAAAAAAAAAAGATTTCACAGACCACAAACTGTGTTTTATTTTATTGTAAATAATATACAATTGTCAGGAAAAAAGGCATCACCAATCACAAAATGCTAATCAATGATGTACATTCAATGTAAATTCAGGTTTGATCAATTTCTAAACCTGAACTGATGTGGGTCCATATAATACCCTTAAACCAGTTTTTTATGTCTTCATTTTTTTCCACCCATTATCAATAACAAAGGTTTTAAAAACAGTGTTTTGAACAGGACTTAAAATAATATAGTCCGAATGAGTTAAAATTAGGTTTTTATTGTGCTAAAATTCAGRCAAGCTACTGGCCTGAAGAACCACACGCCCAACCCATGTTTACATCTTTAACTATAAACACACTTCTTATTGTTCTCCTGTGGGAGTCCGTTTATTTTTATACAAGTACTTTTAATGAACTTTGACTTCGATATTCTGTTAGACGAATTAACGCAACCTAAAACAAAAATACTGACTCATTTAAACCAGTTAAGTAATAAATAAATTTTTAAACAAAAACACTTACATAAAAGGCAATGTATCCGCTGAACGTGGGCAGCTTGCAACAAAATCGTTGTTCAAGACAAACCCTTTCGTTTCCTGAAGTTTGAATTGAAGCGCGTTGACGTCACGATATCGACGTCGGCTAGGATGCGAATGCTTAGTGTACCCGGATGCACCGGCACTGAAATGTGGTGCGGTGTTTAACCGATTACATGTAAGAATAGCAATTTCTTTAACTTTCTAAATACATTTTCATCTCAATTACGTGTATTTGTATGATATTAGTTTATATAATGTTGGTTGTATTTTTAGTTTATCTTAATGATCGAAAGTGTGTCCCACCAGGCTGTCTTCCAGGTAAATAAAACCCAGCGCCTTTAAACAAGCGCAACATACTGGTTTATTTTCATTTTGACTTCACTTTAATTTCAAAGCTTTCCAGCTGTCTAAATGAGATAATATACATATTTACATAGTTTGACTTGAATCCTGTCTTTATAAAAGTTTACATCCTCTAGACAAGTACAGAAAAATTGATTTGACATGTCACTGTCTGTTGTGATGAATTTTTAAATACAGTCTGATGCCCTTTTAGTTTGCAATGTTATATAGTTTTAATGGATTTGTTGTTGGTCCCATGGGGTGTATATTTTTTAATTTGTCTATATTGTTTTGTTGAGAGACTCATTTAGGGCTACCCTTATGATGGAAAGTTTAATCCTCAAGTAAAGATAAAAAAAGAGCTCTAAATTAAAAATKAAAGTGGTATTACACAAATATATATAAGTCAGAACACAACACATTTGTGTTTTTTTGTACAATTTCATAAAATGTAGTCTTAACATGAGGCATCAGGTGTTAAGTTTTAATTTCCTGAATGTACCCAAATGAACAGACAGACAATAGTAAAAAGTGAGTTTTATTTACAGTGTAGTTTACGTGACAGAGAAATCATTGCAATTTATTTTATTTTTAAAAAGTTCTCAACTTTGAGTGTTGCTAAATATTAAGGCTTAATCATTTCTTAAAGTGCAAACGTCTATTATAACTTTAAGCAAATACATCCAACAATCTAAAGTTTTGTAATTAATCATTCAAGATCTATACATCTTCTGCTGTCATATTTCATCCTCCAACAGCAGGCAGCCACTATGTATGTTTAATAACTCCAGCCATATTACAGAACTCGATCAAAGTAGGAGTGATGGTGGAATAGCACTCTGTATTTCAGCTCTTGCCTTTGTCAGGGTAAGCAGAAATAATGAGTTAAAGTCAGTAACCCTGTCATGAAATAGCCAAGCTTGTCACTCATACTGAGCACCGCTTCTTGCAGTCTTTGACTCATAATGGCTTTTATAAAGAAACCAAGACAATACAATTAAAAATCTGCAATTATCTCTGAAATGATTAATTCCTCAAGCTTTTCACAACATCATATTAATCCCAGTCACAACTACGTTTGTTCATATGTGGCATTAAATTAATAAATTTGATCTTATAGTAACATAAATGCAATAATATAGTCTAAACGTTTTACATAATATGAACATGAGTTCAGATAATATGAAATGAGGTCATGGAGCAAAGTTATGAACCGTCAATATCTTACCTGCAGTAGATAGCTCATTGAAGGTCCTTAGTTTGGAGAAATTGTCGTTCTATTTCGTGTAAGCTCCGCCCTCTAAGGCTATCGCAGATGGGTACCCCCGTGCGCGTACACGCATTCTGAAGAGCCAATAGTCCACGCCCACGTCACGTGGGCCTCACCTCGGTCCGTAYAAAAGGGGAGGACGGACCTGAGTTCAGCTCCCCTTTTTTCTTCAGCTTCGGCATTCTGCATGTACCATRGAAGACGCCCATACATGTAAGTGCTATGATTCTATTATATTGAAGTGTTACTGCACACACAGTGTGCTGTCTCTTCTTCACATCATCTGGATTATGTGATGAACACAGGGGCTCATGCAAATCTGTTCACTATGTGAATCAGTTTTTGCTGTTGCCTTTTTTGCKTGTGCAACATCACAAGGGATGTTTTGGGTGGAAGCTTCACGTGTATGTCAAGCCGGTGAGGCGTAGACTACATCAGGCTCCGCCTCTAATACCCATCTGCGATAGCCTTAGAGGGCGGAGCTTACACGAAATAGAACGTTGGTTACGTATTGTAACCCCAGATTCTATGAGTGTAAGCGCAGCCCTCTAAGGATCGGGGCCTCACCGGCTTCCGTAGCTGAAGAAAAAGTAAGCTATTGGGAGCTGAACTCAGGTCCGTCCTCCCCTTTTATACGGACCGAGGTGAGGCCCACGTGACGTGGGCGTGGACTATTGGCTCTTCAGAATGCGCGTACGCACATGGGGGTACCCATCTGCGATAGCCTTAGAGGGCTGCGCTTACACTCATAGAATCTGGGGTTACAATACGTAACCAACGTTCGTTTTGACAGGATCGAGGAGTTTCAATCAGGACTAAGACACAAATCTTAAAACAAATTAAATATTACAAAAATGTAGCAGTTCATGTAGGACCAGGCAACATGGTTGAAAAATGAAAGTGTTTCACATAAGTCACTGTCAATAATTATTTAGTTTTTTTGTTTTACCCATAATAGGAGATAAAAGGCTGATTCATTCTGACAAAATGGTGATGTTATTTCCTTTTTTACCCACATTGTTCTTTTTTTATTTTTAAGCAGTTATGAGGCACAGTGGTGAAACATGAAACTGCTACTGCACGTTACTCTACAGGTTACTGCAGCTTACAAACAGTGATATATATGTCTATCACAAGATCGTTATTGTTTTATTGCCCAGCCCTAAGTTCATGTAAAGTCTTCTTTGTAAATATATACATTGTGGTTATTTTCACACGATAGCTTCATTTTGACCAAAACGATATTCCTTCTTGCGTCAGACTGCACCACACACACTCCAGATAAATGCGCTGCTGGAGTTGTTGTTTGAGCATCAGAATCAAGTTCATTGCAAAATTTACTCAAAAGAAAAAAAAAACTGATTTGTTGCAGAAAGTTCACAGCAAAATAATCACAAAAACAAAGTGTTACACACAAATGCAGCTAGGTAGAAACCTATAAAGAATGTGCACTTGTTGACATAAAAGACTAAATTAAAAATGTTAAAAGTAAGAAAAATTCACATTTATAAAGTTTAACAGTAAAATATTTATAAAAGGATGTTGGATGGTTAAAAGACTAAAATAACTACGCAGCTGTAAATAAACTCGCAGAGACGTAAAATTTTCTGAACTCTATGACTCTTCAAGGTTTTTGTTCAATGTTTAAAAAACATGTTTAACATTAAAATAAATTGCCTCTTCTTCCATAAGAGGACCAAATACAAATTTAACAGCAGGCTGGTTTGACACGAATAAAAAGTAAATACACAGGAAGGATTTTTTTTTTTTTAGTATTATTTTATTTATTTGACTCTCTTTGTGGCTGCTGTAGATATTTTCCAGACCTCTTGCTTTGTTGTTGGCACAAACAATCCTTTGTACTAAAATAACCCCTTGCTGACAAATTGTTTGGAAGGTCTTCTAACCTCGCATCAAAACACTTTTTTTTYCCCATTTAGGGAACACTGCAAAGAGGCAACCTGTTTGATATTCCTCGGATGAAATTTGCCACAAATAGACTTTTCCTTTCAGCAGTCAGGGAGTTAGAAGTCAGGAACTCGTGATTAAATTTAAGACAGCTTGTATTAAAGACCTCACACTCCTTGAATTCTTATAACCTGCTGGTTTTCATGAGTTTTATTCAAGATGGCCTCCACAGCCACATCTTGTGAGCTATGTTAAAGCTCAAGCTAAGAGCTTATTTTTGACTGAATATCAATAGTTTTGAGTAAATTGGTCCTTTTTTTTGGTTGTAAAATGTAGCTTAGCTGTGATGGCCATCTTGATATAGGTTGACTCCAAATGTTAATGAGTTGTAGATACACACCAAATGATTACTTTCTGAAAGTTTTATTAAAAACCATCCAGCGGTTCATGAGATATTTAGTCAACAGACAGGGTTGACTAAGAATTAACACCAAATTTCTAAGCAAAGACCGTGTACAATGTGTTGAGCTCTGATGAGGTGTTAGGGATGACTCTCAGCTACTAACACACCAAAAGTTTGCTCAGTATCTGAAAAACTAACAGTTCTAGCTAATT